GTATTACTGATAGCCAGAAAAGGTTTATTGAATTCCCTCTGTATGTACATGCAGCCCTCCTTTGTACTGCTGAGAAAAACTATAGAGGTGTTCTGTCTCAAAAATAAAAAAAAAAAAAAAAAAAAAAATGATATGAATTGGGTAGAATTAAATAAGGGAAAAATGGGAGTTTTATGGGTAAGGAAATGTATATACTTATGGAAAGCATTAAGTGTTTATTAAATGGGGGGAAAAGCAAGTATAAAGGCACCTAGATGAAAGCAAAGGAAAAGTAAGGTTCCAAATAGCATTAGACCCCGTGAACTGCAACCACAGCTGCAAACCTAATGCTAGGCCAAACTTGTATTCAGTATGCAAAGACTTATTGGTCACAGTCTTGATTTTGTTTCTAATAAGATGTAATAAATACAAGTATAATCTGAGTCACTTATAAATATCAATCTCAATAGACAACATCTAAGTACCTATTCATATCTAGAGAAATACTCAAAAATTCAAAAAATTAAGTTTGAAGGACACATCTTTGGATGAAAAACATTGGAATGAAGTACAATTTTTTTATTTTTTAACAATCAATTGTGTTAAATCACTGACATAAGAGGCCAAAATAAGACTTCTCAATTTATCACTAGCTTAACTAGGAAACCTACAATCAAGTGGAATTAAAACTTGAGTTTGAGGAGCAGAATATTCAAGTGCATCACAATCAAATCCAAGCTAGGCTCCTTAATAGATAAGGAACCTTGAGTAACCTCTGTGGCCAGAGCTCATTCGTTTATTTGGGGTTGTTTATTTGTTTGTTTTAGAGAGACAGGGTCTCACTCTGTTGCTCAAGCTGGGGTGCAGTGGTGCAATCATAGCTCATTGCAGCCTCAAACACCTGGGCTCAAGTGATCCTCCCATGTCAGCCTTCTGAGTAGTTGGTACTACAGGGTGTCCCACCATGCAGGGCTAATTTTTTATTTTGTAGAAATGGGGTTTTGCTATGTTGTCTAGGCTGATCTCCAACCAACTCCTGGCCTCAAGCAATCCTACTGCCTTGGCCTCCATAAGAGCTGGGATTACAAGCATAAGCCACCATGCCCCACCTACTCACTCATTTGTGAAATAAATAAAATAATTTCTACCCAGAAGAGTTAGTATAAGAATCAGAATGATACAACACTAAGAAACTAGAATGATATTCTTCATATCTCAAAAGATTGTATTCATTATTATATAGTCTACTGTCATCGAAGGAACCTATTCAGTTATGCAAGAGTGTAATTATTCTTTGTAGAAAGGAGAGAACAGATTTTAAAATGTAAAGGAATAGCCCAAATTCTAGAATTGGACTGATACTTTTATCTCTTAACTCACTAGTCCTCTTTTCTCATTAATATAACTAGCAAAAATGAATTAAAATGCAAACTCCAATTAAGTTTCTCTCTACCCTCTCCCCAATAAAAAACTCTCATTCTTTTTTTTTTTTTTTTTTTTTTTGTGAGCAAGTAAAGTACATTTACCAAAGGAAGAATGTTGCATAGGGGTCTCCAAAATAGGTTGCATAAATTCCAAAGGTATGCATGATGATCCACTGGGAAAGAAAATTTTAGAATATTTTGTTATATTTTATTTCATCTTTCTTAATTTATTTTTTATATATTTGAAATAATTTACATGGAGTAATAGTATGGGAGTATATATATTTATAATTTCTAAGTGAATTAATGTTCTCATATTAGGCATCTGTGCTCAAAATGTTTTCCTGAAAGGAATGTGTTATTTTAAAAACTTGAAGAAGATTACTGCCATGAGAACTGTGTGTAAGTTTTTCATTATTTTTCTTTTTTTTCTTTTTTTTTTTTTGATATGGAGTCTTGCTCTGTCACTCACACTGGAGTGCAGTGACCCTATCTTGGCTCACTGCAACTTCCGTCTCCTGGGTTAAAGCAATTCTCCTGCCTCAGCTTCCCAAATAGTTGGGATTACAGGCATGTGGCACCATGCCCAGTTAATTATTGTGTTTTCAGTAGAGACAGTGTTTTGCTAAATGAATTAGAAGTGAGTAGATTAGTTAAAATATATATTAACTATATATTTTGATATAGTTATGATGACCACATGCTTATGTTCAGTTTAATAAGACATACCATGGACACTGTTTTTTTAACTTTAACACACCACAAATTGGGAATTACGAGATGTTGCCCAAACTCTCTCTTAGTTTCAAATGGTCCCAGAAAAAAATGAGAAATTTTTTCTGTTTGTAAGAACTGCGATGCCATTAATATTGCATCATGGCATTTAATAGCTTTTATTATCAAATACATCTTCCCATTTAATCCAGAATCCTCATGCAGTGGTTTAAATAAATCTTCCCACATTATCTTTTCCATAAAGATTATGTGATTTTCGTGGGTTCTTGACCTCAGATTTACAAACCTTCTGGAATTGCATGAAAAGTGGTACATGTTGGTACATTTTTTTCGGGGAAAAGCTCTTTAAATACTTAAAAGTGCCCCATCACAAAAAATGGCTATGTAATGCCTTTATAGACCAGGTTATTTCTCAGTTATATATTTTTTGAGTTTAAATATTCTTAATGACTTTGGCAGAGATCCTACTTTACATTCTGCAGAGCCTCTCAACTTCTTCCAGCTAATCAGCTCCAAAGATGACCTGGCTATATACCTTTGGCTCACCTTCTGTTCAAAGATTCCCTGGAACTTTGCTGCTGATTCCTTGGAAATTCCACTTATTTTTCTTAGGTTTTTCTCATAGCTTCTATTCTCAAGTACCCTAATTATCACCAGGCTTGCTCTCCTTTGAGCCGTATTACTTGCAGAACTCAAACTAATTTTAAGAGTACGATAAGTGATAAAAAAAAAAAAAAGGAAGAGAATGAATCTAACCTTTAATGTGAGCCAGGTGTTTTACATATGTTTTCCCTTTAATCCTTGAAACCACCACATAAGTAGGCATTATTGTCATCCTCTTGCTCTCTTCTCCCTGACATGCAAGTAAAAGGTAGTTTGTGGCCAGGCTCAGCAACCCACGCCTATAACCCTAGCATATTGAGAGGTCAAGGTGGGCAGATTGCTTGAGCCCAGGAGTTCGAGACCAGCCTGAATAACATGATGAAACCCCGTCTCTATAAACAATACAAAAATTAGCCAGGTGTGGCATGCTCCTGTAGTCCCAGCTACTCAGGAGGTGGAGGCAGGAGAATCAACTGAGCCAGAGAGGTTGAGGCTGCATGAGCAGTGATTGCACTCCAGCTTGGGCAATAGAGACACTGTCTCACTCACACACACACACAGATACTTTGCTATAAATCCAAATAGAAACACAAGTTAATTTCATTGGAAATATTTATGCCTATAGTTATTCATTCTGCTTCAAAGAGTGCTTTTTAAGAGAAGGTGAAGAGTAGAAATTTGGTAAGGAAGACAGCACTCCTACTAAATTAAGCCTCATGAAAATAGGATCTTTGTGGGTTTTTTTTTTTTTTTTCATATTCTCCAGAAATAAGGGTAATGCTTGGTGCATAGGAGGAACAAAATAAATGTTGCTTGAGTGAATACACTGATTGAACACCTACTGTATCCCAGAATTGTACCTTAGGAGGCAAGTAGCAAGGAGTATTCTCTCTATCTTATAATTGAAGAAACAGTCTCAAGGAGATTGAGCAACGTGCACAAGAACACAAGCTGTAAGTGGCAAAACCGTCAGATAAAGACACTGTAAAATTCTTACTCTTTCTGATAATGATACTAATGGTGTGCCTTCTTTAAGCATTAAAAAGGAGCTGCTATCATAAACAGTTATTACAAATACATTGGAAAACATTCAATGAACAACCAAATTTTAATTACAAATTAGAATTTTTTTTTTCTCAACTCCCCTTTCCTAACAACATGTGACTATCTGGCTTATCTGTGGTGACAAGATTAAATTTACTTTAAAAGCATATAGGATCAACCTAAAAATATTCTAATATAACTTAAAGATAATTTATGTATGTTTAACATCCATAACAGAATACAAATTACTATGTCTTTACTCTCAAATAAATGATCTGATAATATATGTAAGAAATGTGAATATGCTATTATAGATTTTTCATATATATAATTTTTCCATAAGTATTCATGAATCCTCAGAAAACACATTTGATCATTAAATATTTCTGATGAAATTTCTGAAAACCTTAAAATTTTTCTAGTTTTAGTCAATATACAATTTCATAAAATTTGACCTAAATTAATGATTTTTTTCTTTAGTAACAGGCAATTTTGGGCTTATTTCTCTAAATAATTTCAAGTCATCCATAATTACTATTTTAAAAGTAGTGATTTTAACAACTATAAGTTTTAATTATTACATTAAAAAATACAGACTGCTTCATAGGTTTTCTTAGAGCAAAGATATTTATGTAACTTACTGTACTTAATACCCAAATAGTATTCTAAAAATTAAAAGTCACTATCTTGAACAGTATTTTTAGAACACATAACTATATATAATATTAAACAGTATGAACTTGGTCATTTTAACAATTTTTACAGAAGTCATTTTTAATAATTTGATCATTATAAACTTCAAATGACTGAGAACAGGAGCAGGTTTAATTTCAATCATGATATCATTTTATCTTAATTGTACATGCCATCATTGAAGCATAGCAATAAATTGTGGAGAAAATACAAGAAACATTTTATCTCCCAAGCCAAAATCTTCTGTGATATTTAAATGAATTCTTTGGAAATTTAGCTTATTAATTTTTTATATTAGTGCCTTAATATTACAACTTATGTTATTATATATATTATATATATGTATACATATAGGTTTAAGTCATGCATTGTATTTAAATTATGAAATATTGGAATCATTTTTCTGAGCTCAAAGAAGAGATGATTTAATTCCAGCAGAAACAAGGAGGTTTGAACACATCATATCACCATGAAATAAATATTAAAACAGAAGTCTTTTAACATTATCATCTATAGACTCACCTGGTATCCTGACCGCTTGACTAATAAAAAACCTTCAAAGTACAAAGGTAGAGCAGTAATCTTTAACCTTTCCTGGAAGATCCTGCGAGGGGCTGGTTTTGGGGGCTTCTTAGCCATCATACCCCTCTCTTTGGTGTGTGGTTTGGTTTCAACTTGATCTCGTCTCAAACAAAATGAAATCTTCCTTGTGTGAGAGGAAGAGGCAACTGTTCAAAGAGGAAGTCCCAAATTGCTTTTTAACCACCAACACTACCACCAACAGGACACACACACACACACACACACACACACACACTCACTTTTTTTCCATTACTTTTTGTGAGGTAAGAAAGAACAGGTGTAGACCGACTTTTAGAGGGCAATCTCTGGGTAACCTACATGTGCTTAAAGTAGCAAAATAAACAGAAGATTAACATCACCTGACGATGAAAGAAACAGGTGTAGAGATTGTGAACTTTAGAGGAGACATCAACAAGACAGTTATTCTTTCTACCTTTGTTTTTGTTTATTGCTGTCCATTTTTATTTGCAGAAGACATGAATAAACTCTACATTAAAAATTACTTCATAGAATAATTTATTAGTACTATTTCCGTTGGTTAAATATTTCAGGGCCAAGTTTTGTATAAATAAAAAAATAATTCTATCTCATGCCCATTTGATGCTTCACTAAATAAAATCACAGTTATGGGAACATGGAATATGGAATTTTTTTCTTTTTTCTTTTTATTTTTTGCCAGTAGGTATTACAAGTGCATGAGTTTCCAATGAATACTTAGCGCTATGTTTTGAATGTGTCCTCCAAAGTTTATGTGCTAGAAACTTAATCCCCAATGCAACAGTGTTTAGGAATGGAACCTTTAGAAGGTGATTAAGTCATGAGGTATCTGCCCTCATGAATGAATTAATGCTGTTATTGAAGGAGTGGGTTTCTTTCTCTTTCTGTAGATGCAAGGTCTTGCTCTGTTGCTCAGGCTGGAATACACTGGCACAATCACAGCTCATTGCAGCCTTGACTTTTCAGGCTCAATCTTCCCACATCAGTCTCTTGAGTAGCTGGGACTACAAGGCAGGTGCCACCCACCACTCCTAGCTATCTTTTTTATAGAGACAGTATCTCCCTATGCTGTCCAGGTTAGTCTCGAACTCTTAGGCTTAAGTGATTCTCCTGCTGTGGCTTCTCAAAGTGTTGGGATTACAGGTGTGAGCCATTGCACCTGGCCTGGAAGTGGGTTTTTTAAAATAAAAGCAAGTTTGGCCAGGCACGGTGGCTCACACCTGTAATCCCAGCACTTTGGGAGGCCAAGGCAGGCGGATCACGAGGTCAGGAGATCAAGACCATCCTGACTAACATGGCGAAAACCCGTCTCTACTAAAATACCAAAAATTAGCCTGTAGTCCCAGCTACTCAGAGGCTAAGGCAGGGGAGTCGCTTGAACCACAAGGCAGAGGTTGCAGTGAGCCAAGACTATACCACTGCACTCCAGCCTAGACAACAGAGCGAGACTCCATCTCAAAAAAAAAAAAAAAAAAAAAAAAAGCATGTTTGGCACTTTCTCACATGCTATCACACTCTATTGCTCTTCTACCTTCTGCCATGGAATGATGGCGCCTGAAGGTCCTCATCAGATGCTGGCCGTGCTCTATGACTTCCATCCTCATACTTGAGCCAAATACATGTCTGCTCATGAGAGGATTTTTTTTTTTTTTGAGACAAAGTTTCGCTGTGTCCTCCAGGCTGGAGTGCAGTGGTGCCATCTTGGCTCACTGTAACCTCTGCCTCCTAGGTTCAAGTGAGTCTCATGCCTCAGCCACCTGAGTAGCTAGGATTACAGTACTGTGTCACCATGCCTTACTAATTTTTGTATTTTTAGTAGAGATGAGGTTTCACCATATTGGCCAAACTGGTCTCCAACTCCTGGCTTCAAGAAATTTGCCTATCTCAGCCTCCCAAATTGCCCCATACCTGGCCTCATTGGAGAATTCTTATTTGTGGTGTCAACAGCACATCATTTCTGCCCCGTATCTTTGCTTCTAGTTTATTCTTCCTATTGCCTCTTATTTTTAGGTGAATGATAGAGCCTCTGGAGAAAAAACACAAAACAACTCTCACTTTTAGGTACTGTCTGCAAGCTACTATTTTGGTATTTTATTGTTTATGAGTTTCCATAGACACTTGAATTTACAAATATATGTCATATGCCACATATATTTAACTTAAAATGACCCAAGCTTAGCAAGTAGTATGACAGTTCACCAAAACATGCTCATTTTATATCATAAGTTACAGCTGAGAAGAAGAGATGAAGGCAGGCACTACAAAAACTATGCTTGAGGCCGGGCACGGTGGCTCAAGCCTGTAATCCCAGCACTTTGGGAGGCCGAGGCGGGTGGATCACGAGGTCAAGAGATCGAGACCATCCTGGCCAACACGGTGAAACCCCGTCTCTACTAAAACTACAAAAAATTAGGCCGGGCACGGTGGCTCAAGCCTGTAATCCCAGCACTTTGGGAGGCCGAGGCGGGTGGATCACGAGGTCAAGAGATCGAGACCATCCTGGCCAACACGGTGAAACCCCGTCTCTACTAAAAATACAAAAAATTAGCTGGGCATGGTGGCGCGTGCCTGTAGTCCCAGCTACTCGGGAGGCTGAGGCAGGAGAATTGCCTGAACCCAGGAGGCGGAGGTTGCGGTGAGCCGAGATCCCGCCATTGCACTCCATCCAGCCTGGGTAACAAGAGCGAAACTCCGTCTCAAAAAAAAAAAAAAAAAAAAAAAGAGAAAAGGAAACAGAGAACTAACGCACTTTAATGCTCAATGTTTTTAATGCTTTGAGTTACATTGTGCTAAATAAGTATTAGTTTTACTTTTTTTCCCATTTCCCTATAGATTTATAACTGACAGTAAGAGATAAGTTAATATTTTGATAATTGTTTTTTGAGACAGCGTCTCGCTCTGTTACCCAAGCTGGAGTACAGTGGCGTGACCTCGGCTCACTGTAGCCTCTGCCTCCCAGTTTCAAGCGATTCTCCTGCCTAAGCCTCCGAAGTAGCTGGGATTCAGGCACCCACCACGGCTCCTGGCTAATTTTGTATTTTTTAGTAGAGACAGGATTTTACTATGTTGGCCAGGCTGGTCTCGAACTCCTGACCTCAGGTGATCCACCTGCCTTGGCCTCCCAAAGTGCTGGAATTGCAAGTGTGGGCCACCATGCCTGGCTGATAAATTTTTTTAAAGGTCATAAAACAATCAGAAGTTTTGCATGGTTTCAGCTTACATGGTCTTTTTAAGGGTCCTGTGCTACTTTGCAAAGCAATGACTGCCCGAAATTTAAAAATCATACCCTACATTACTTGCCAATTTTCACTCAAGGTAATTTAAGTCTTCTCAAGGGTAAAATTATAATGCAGAACCATTTTATTAAGCTTTTGAAAATCTTATACAGCAGTTTACAGATTGAAAATTTATACAGCACTTTACAATTAAAAACTCATTGTGGACCTCAACAACTCATAGCATTGTAAAACTGTTCTTGTAAACATTGCTGCTACCTACCTGCACATTGCAAGCATATTTTATTAACTTTTCTATTATGGTCAATATAGTATAAATAGCATTTCTATTCAAGGATAATTTTCTCAGAAAAGAATACTTAAATGATCTCCTTAACAGAGGGACCAACATTTTGCAGTAAAGAGTAAAAGAAGGGGCCAGGCGCGGTGGCTCATACCTGTAATCCCAGCACTTTGGGAAGCCGAGGCGGGTGGATCAAGAGGTCAAGAGATCAAGACCATCCTGGTCAACATGGTGAAACCCCGTCTCTAC